CTCTGACCCCAAACCTTTGCTCTTACCTCTTATTAACCTACAAACTCCTCTTAATTGAACTGTTTCTTTATCCCTAAACCTTCTTGGGGTTTCACATTCCTCTTACTGTCTAGCTTGGTATCTACGCCCCCTATTGACCAGGGAGGGTTAATGTTTTATTTATAACTCATGGGGACTACTTTTTGTCTTTTTTTCTTGTTTTCTTCATTCTCTCTGTCTTAAACTTCTCATCATATAGTTAAGTTCATTTCTCAGAAAACTACCCTTTGATAATGTTCTCATTCCCTAGAGAAAGTGGTAAATTCAAATTGTGTCATAGTTAAACCACAGTTTTGTGTTTGATTCAGCATTTGAATTTGAATTGCAATTTCTCAGCTTGTGTGAGTGAGGCAACGAGAGAGAAAGAGAGAGGGAGAGAGAGAGAGAACAGCCAAAGCGGTCTCTCACAATATTTCCAGTGTGTGCCGACAAAAGAGCTAGAAATGATGATGTGATGTGTGCGTGTGTGTCTGTGTGTGTGTGTCCACACTGGTTGGTGAGGTTGTTATTAGGTATCTAATGAATATTTCATTATTCAGATTGACGAGGAGTCTTATTAAAATATGAAGATGTTGAAATTAATTGTCAATTAGAGGTAGAGTGTCTTAATTTGAGGGGATATAAATGGGTGCAGCCGAGTGGCAATGTATGTGTTCTTGTGTGTCTGGATGATGTGTTGATCGCAGGGGGATCAGCTGCTATTAACATCTAATGGGAAATCAGGAAGAGGCGTGTTCTGTCACCGCTGGAGACGAGCCTCAGGGTCAGGGATTGGAGGAGGAGGGGCAGGGGAGGAGCGTCAGGAATGGAAACAAAGCTTGGCCTCAATTAACAGAGTTCGACTGTTGCCGTGGTGATGTGGCATGGTTGCAGCCTTAATGAAGTACCTGTTAAACAGCCCCGCCCCCTCCAGTCAGCTTAAATGGTACAGAGAGGGGGCAGAGTAAAGAGAAGGCCATGCACACATTTTTCATACATATAGACAATACACACAAAAACATATACACACTGGTTTTAATTAGTCTTAAACCAGCAGCCCAACAACGGCTGTCCCAGAGAGACTGGGAGCACTGGTTCTATGTGTGTGTGTGTGTGTGTGTGTGTGTGTGTGTGTGTGTGTGTGTGTGTGCAAGGCTCTGCCTAATTGGGCCGTATTGGTCCGTGAAGACTTCGCCACCGCAGAGTGCATGTGTGTGTTCCCTTCTTACAAACATGCTGTCGTGTGGTTTTGTATTTGTAAGCGCAGGGTTAATTGCAGCCAGCGCTGTTTGTATAAATATATGTGTTCAGTGTGTACGAGTGTGTGTGGTTCTGCATGAGAATGCTGGTTGCATTTGGGTAAATGTAGAGAAATTCATAGGTCATGTTGGGGGTCTTTTTTTTTTTATGTAATGTGAATAGCTCCTAGTAGCGCCCTGTACTTAAAAGTAGAAGGCTTGTGGCCCATTCACTTCAGAGTTACAACCTCAAATGTACAAATATTCTTAAACAACTACTAGACAAAACAGTTTTGAAACACTTTCCTGGAGGAGATTTGTTATGTATATGACACAAAAGCATTGTCTAATGCACTGATATCACCTGACCCTGATCCTATCTTGTGTAGATGATGCTTCTCTGTAAACAGCAGCCGCACTCAGCAGATGGCGAAGCTTTAAAGTAAACACGAGGGAAGCATTAGTCATATAGTAACTCCATTTTATGTCCCTGCACTAAAACAATTCTCCACCCTCAATACATAAAAAATAAAGATTCTCAACTTTTCATGACGGCATCAGTCTCCATGATATGAATAGATTCATTACTAACACTATAAAACCAAAGTAAAGTAAGTTATATGAGGATAGGATATTTTAATAAAATTAAATATATTTTTTGTAAGCTATTTAAAGGTGCAGAATATAAACTTTTTTAGTTGATTTAACTGGTAGAATCACTATGAAACCTCCTTTTCAGGCATAAAAGCTCCATTAATCATCCTAATTTCTGTGTGTGTGTGTGTGTGTCTCTCTGTCTCTAGCTGAACCTGGCTTCCAGTGGCGCTCTGTTAAAGCGGGACAGCGAGGCCTACCCAGAGGGTCTTCCGCACCCCCCCACCTCAGCTGCCACCCCCATCACCCCACTGCGCCAGGGACCCTCGGTCATCAGCTCCTCCAGCCTGCACTCACACTCCCACTCCCACACGCACGGTGTTGGGCCCATACGTAGGCGCAACTCCGACAAGTACTGCACCCCCATTGCCTCAGGTAGACTGTAACATACACTCACCCAGTTTTTTATGTCATTATTATTATGTTTTCCCTAATTATTGATATATAATGGGCTCCAGTGTTGCTGACTGCTTTAGGTTTTTCTTACAATACTTGTTGCTGTTGCTGCATAATTTTCCCTGAAAGAGCAATAGAATATGTTTTAATTCAGAAATCAATTTTATTCATGTCTTTAAAAATTTTTTTTTGCCTCGATTTGAATTCCAGGTATCCAAGCAATATACCTTTAAGTGTATGGCATAGAATGAAGTCACATTCATTCACATTTATTCAGCTCAGTGTAGCAAGTCTTCAAATGGTAAAAAAAAAAGTAAGGAAAATATGATTGGCTTGTAATGAAAAATAAAAATATTATATTTTGCTTAATATTTGGTATGCAGAAGGATATCAGGCTTATTAAAATTTTTACTTCCATATTCTTATATGGATTTAAAATAATATATATATTATATTTATTTAAAAAATACACTTTATTTTAACATTTAAATTTGGAATAAAATTGAACAGATATATAAAGTTCACGTCAGCTAATGTAAAACTGTCATTCCTTTTTTTCCAGAGCTGGCACAGAACTGTGAGTTCTACAAGAACGCTGATGTCAGGCCTCCCTTTACCTATGCCTCTCTTATACGTCATGTAAGTCTCTCCAATGCTCCGTTTCAACATCTCTTCTCTCCATCTGTGTTCTCCTCTAAATCTTATTGTATCTCTTCCCATCCTCAGGCCATTCTGGAGTCCCCAGACAGACAGTTGACTCTCAATGAGATCTACAACTGGTTTACACGAAAGTTTGCCTATTTCAGGAGAAACACAGCCACATGGAAGGTAAAAGCTTAGAATATACACACTCTCTCCCTTGACCTTTATCCTTCTCAGGACATTTTGTTGGCTAACTAATGCAAATTTTAAATGTAAGAACCAAGTATGACTACACTGGAATCCTCAAACTCTGCAGTAATAATTTAACTCTTACAGTACTTTCAGAGTCAGTTTAATGTAAATACCCCAAAAAACATTTTGGAAAACTGAGAATCACCTAATTGAAGATGGATACCAGGCCAATTAACAAACTGCTTTGGAGTTGTTTAGATGATGGTGAAAACGAGCAGCAGCAGAGAAAATAAAAGTTCTGACTGCGGTTCTGACTGGTTAAAAGCTGATTCTGTCAGAGCACAATATTTGGAGTGAAACTAAAATGTGGTATACAACTGGATAAAAGCTGATCTAACTGACTGCAAAGTAATTGTGGTCTGTGCCCACTGATGAAGCCCCTAACCCATACCGTTGCCTGCTGAGACTTCTTAGACCACAACGAAAGAAACAACTTTCAGGCAGATTTTGCAGTGTTATTTGAAACATTTGGATTCACTTTGAAGGCCTACATTTGGCACTTGTATGCAGAATGTAGAAATGAATGAATGAAAGACAGACACTAACACACACACTAACACACACACACACACACACACACACACACACACACACACACTTGCACTCATTTTAGAGCTGACTTTTCTCAGCTCCTAAAGATATGACTGATTTGACAGTTATTGGCTGTTTCTGTCCTTTATGAGACACTTTCCTACTGCTCTCTTTCTCTCCTTCTTCCCACTCTCTCTTTCCCTCTCAGCTCTAAACAATTCTCTCACCTCCAACATGGCACATGGAGAGTTGGCCCCACTTAGCCTGGCAGAGCCACATCCAGCCGTTCTAAAGCCTCATTACAGAGACGCACATACTGCTCATGATCACACACATTGAGTTCTCTCCCTTTCGCTCTGTCTCTTTCTCGCCCTCTCTCTCTCCCTCCTCATCTCTCTCTCTCTCTCTCTCACACACACACACACACACACACACACACACACACACACACACCTGGCCTGATCCCACTGTTGTAGGTGCTGACCCATTTCTACAGAAACCTCACACTAATTTGAGTGTCAGTTCCTCCAGAGAGAGGGAAAGTGAGAGAATGAGCAAAGGAGTAAGAGAGACAGGGGGAGGAGGGGTAAGGAGAGACCCCGGCCTTCCTCTAATAGCCCTAAACCAAGGAGGGAGGAGGGAGTTGAGATGATGATGGAGGGATGGAGGGAGGGGCCCAGAGAAGGTTAAGAGATGGGGCAGCCAGGAATATCTTTACCTCCTCATCTGACTTTTATGAATTTTAACTATTAATGTCTGGTGTCTGCTTCCTGTGCCGTTGGCCTTGCAGACCTTTAAATATAGCTTGGCATGGCCTTATGTATTTATATAGCAGCTCAGTGAGTCAAATAGGGCCATAGAGATGTATGTCCCTTAATAAGCCGTTATATTTCATGAGGACAGCAGCGGTGTCAGGGATTGGAAGTCATTGATCATAGGAAAGAAGGAACAGAGAATGAGGAAGAGATGAGAGAGAGAGAAAAAAGACAGGGATGATTGAGAGAGGAGTGTTGTTTCAAGGTGCTGTGTGATGGGTTGGAGGCTTAACAGAAGACGTTTTCTTTCTCTTTTAACGTACCATAAAAGCTGCATGCAGATTCACCCATGTATATATAAGTAGTATTAGAATAAAATAAATAAGAATAAAAATCCAATCAAGACTCCATATATAAAATCCTTCACTTTGACTTCAATTGTTTGTACTGTAACTAAGTACATTTACTCAAGTACTGTACTTAAGTTAGGCGTTACATTGACGATCAAGATTTTATATACAAAACAAATATGGAGTTTATGAAAGATGATACATTGTTATGGATTAAACTACCCAACAGTATATAAAGTAGTTCAAATTAACTCCCTCTCTACCTATGCTGCTTACAATGTGTCAGTAATAATTATAATATATATAGTAATTGTATTTTCATCATCTTACCTACTCACATGTATTCCTATTTAGGACCATATGGGAGTAGCCTACCCCAGCATGCATCAGGCAACTGGATGAATCACAATACTCAAATATTTAAAATACAAAGACATACACACTTCCAGTAACACCTGTGAACATGAAATAAATTTAGTCTTCTGAATTATTATTATTTTTTTGTCTTCTTTATGATACACAATTCAACCCTTCTTCTAAAAATTCTGCCTCCAGTCGTCGCAACCCCCCCTCAACCGGAGGGAGCGGAGATGAGTGGCACATGTGCTGTGACCCACTGTAAATGACTGCTAATGTTTTAACTGGGAGAATTAGGCTTTCATCACGGAGACGAATGCAAATAGCACTGCAATAGCACTGGTGTCTGGCGTGTGTTGCTGTGTGTGTGTGTGTGTGTGTGTGTGTGTTTGCACTGTCAGGGTGGTGGGCGCAGATTGGGGTCAGACTCATTTACAAAACTTAGCATCACGGCTCGGGGGTTGAGGGGATGCGGGGGAGAAAGGGTTCCTCCGCTGATTATGGCTTGTGTAATTACGTGTGTGTGTTTGTGTGTGTGTGTGTGTGTGTGTGTGTGTGTATCTGCGTGTGTAATTACGGCAAGGAGTGATGCATGCCTGGCCTGTCCCTCCCTCTCGGCTTAGAACAGCGTGTCAGAGAGAATATGCAGGATTTAATTATAGACGAATTAAAATTGGTAATGAAATTGGGCATGAACAAACTACAAATAGCAGATGAAAAGGGAGGCCTGTCCCTGGGGGGGTGAGACGAAGATAGCGGTGTGCCTGCCTGCCTGCCTGCCTGCCTGTCTGAGTGCCTGTGGATGTGTGTGTGTGTGGGTTTCTGTGTGTGTGCTGATGATGACTGATTAGAAAAATTCGGAGATAAAATAACGCTACTAGAGAACTGCTACATTGTATTAGCACTGTACACAGAGCTACAGTATGTGCGTGTATAAAAAGTGATGGGTAAAAGGACTAATATCCTCAGGCCACAGTACTTAAAAGGTAACTTAATACCAAGCTAGAAAGCATTGTTTGTACTGAACACACCCTGCATGAGTGTTCTTTCCTCCAGCTGGAAAGAACTTCAAGTGAAGGAACAAAGATAACAGTTTCAGCTGGTGTTGAGTTACTCTTTAAGGACACATTTCCCTCTTATGGAAGGCGTGGAATATCATGGCAATTTAAGATGTGTAGAATTTCTGAAATTAACAGGAGACATCGGGGAATATTAATGGGTAAACTGTGTGTCACTTTGCAGATAAAGGAGGTCAGAATGCCTTTTACAGTTGTTTCATGCATTCTCTGAGGGGTAATCACTATGAAATAAAATAAAAAGTAAAAATAAAATCAAATGAAATATGAAATAATACTTAAAAATAAAAAAACAAGACTTGTTGACTTATCTTCAGTCATGTTAAAGCTCTCCCTCTGTCCTCTCTCTCTCTCTCTCTCTCTCTCTCTCTCTCCAGAATGCTGTGCGCCACAACCTGAGTCTGCACAAGTGTTTTGTTCGTGTTGAGAACGTGAAGGGGGCTGTGTGGACTGTGGATGAAGTTGAATACCAAAAGAGGAGACCACCAAAGATGACCGGGTAAGTGGACACACACCACACACACACACACACACACACTGTATCACACACACGTTTGTTTTCTTGGTTCACAGTTGAGGTTGACATGAGTGTGAGCTTATGGGTGCTGGCACTATGATTGCCTAAATAGACCCTCTATTATTACCAAGAGGCCAACTCAGCAATCAAATAAAAAAAAAAGGGGGCTGCCGGCGTGCTGTATGTGTGTGTGTTTTTCCCTGTTTGTCGACACCATTAGTAAGCAGCTGTGTGAGATGCAGGAGAGGAAAAAACCTTGTTAGCGTATGTAAACAGATGTTCTCTCCAACCGCCAGAGAAACCAGAGATAATTACACACACACACACACACACCTGCATGCCAGATACTAGACACTTTCATATGTGTGTGTTTTAGCATCTGTTTACAGTCTGTGTATGTTTCTACTTGTAACAAACGTATTTGTGAGATTTGTCAAAGTGCTTTGGCTGAGGTGACATCTTTTCACATATGCGCTCAATCTGTGATCTCTCCCCCCCCTCTTTGTGTGTGTGTATGCAGAAGTCCCACTCTGGTAAAAAACATGATTTCAGGCCTGGGCTTTGGATCCCTAAATGCCAGCTACCAGGTAAGGAATGCCCCCTCCTTACCCCATTTCTCTCTATTTCTCTCTCTCTGTACCCTCACACACACACACACACAGACACACACACACAGACACACACAGCCAATCGCAATCAAGGGCACTAATATCAATTCCCTCTTATAATTAGCAGATTCCCTAACGACGTTCACACCTCCTCCTCCTCCCACACCAACACACACTCTCACCTCCCACCTCACTTTCTCACACATGAGCCACCCCCCATGTCTGCTCACACACAAACACACATACACACACAATTTTGCGACTGAGATGATTTATAGCGTCAAGTAGTTGTCAATTAAGGTTACCGCATAAAATTATCGCCTGTCCCAGAAAATCCATTTCTGAGCCAGTGAGAATTCCCCTCCTTTTGTCTTTTTTTTTTTCCTGTGTGAGAGGGGAGGTGGGGTGAGACTCTCACTCACCAGTGTCCAACCTGTCTCATCTACAAAGCCGGATGTGAGCGTTTGGAGCTTTGACAGAAGCTGTTGGTTCAGTTGTTGTCTCTTTTACAGACATTGATGTTTCACAGTGTTTGTGTGTGTGTTTAAGTTGAGGTTGCGCCCCACTTAACATTCCCTGTTGAGACTTTAATGTGAACACACACACACACTTTATGACAGGGACTTTAATGTACAGGCACAGGCCATGATGGGGAAAGTACTGTATATAAGTGCCCCCTAGTGGTTTGTCAAGTTCACTTGCAAGTTAGTTGATTGAAATATACTCCATATGGAAGAGCTCTCATCACTGCGTCATTCATTGTGGCAATCTAGTTTTGTGTGAATTCAATGTACAAAACTTTGAGCATTGCAGTTTAAATTTATTATAATATTATATATTGGTTGTGGTTAACAGATCGTTTCCAGACAGCATTTTATTATTTATTATGTCACATACCCCTTTTGTCATTATTATTGAACTTTTTTAATTCTAATATATTTTTTTTTTAGAAGGAAAAGAAACATTAATGTAACCCAGCTTCTATTTAAAGTGACAACTCTGTGTGTGTGTGTGTGTGTGTGTGTGCAGGCGGCTCTGGCAGAAAGCAGTCTGTCCCTGCTGAACAGCCCTTCCCTGCTGACCCCTCCGTCTGCGGCCAGCCTCAACATGCTGCATGTGGGCCACGATGATGTCAGCTCCACTGTGGAGCAAGTCAACAGCAACGGGAGCTGCAGCCCCACACTCAGCCCTCAACAGTACAGGTATGCATGGACACACGTGCACACGCATAAATGTAAAGGTGCAAGCAGGAAACACAAACTGCTTTAAAATGATTCCCCTTTACTGAGCCTTTTTACCTTTACCATGTTCACATGGGCCAGCATGTTCGACTAAGACGAGCAGGTCAGTGTTGTCTAATGGAAGTATAATGGCGATACTGATAGTAATATTACTATTTTTATAGAAGATGGCTGAAAAGAGAAATCATTTTAGTTTAGTGTAAGAGAATGAAGAGTGTAGGACTGACTGTAAGTCCTATTATAATATAAGCACTTTTCTCTGAGGCTATAACACTCAAAATACAGAAATAAAACTTGAGAAACAAATACAATTTACAACTTATTGTTACATTCAGATTATAAAACAGCCAGTTTACCCAAAATATAGCAAAAAAATTTTCCTATTATCTAGAATGCCAGTTTTGCTTTTAATTTATTATGTTGCAAAAATTCAAGAATGCATAAGGTACAACTGAAACCATAACACACAATATTGTTGGGTTTAAATGCTTCAGTATCCTCAGCTGTACTAAACTGTAACTGTACTAAAGTGTCAGCAGACATATATTTCTAAACAGAACTGTCTAGATAGCACTTTAGATAAGAATAAAAAAACATTTTGATGTCTTTTGGTGAAGTAATTGAATGTGCCAAAATTTGGCATCAGAAATTCTGCTACTGACATCTGCCTTCATAACTCCTCGTCCTGCTAACAGCTGCTTTCTCTCTCCTCTAGCCACCCGGTGCATGTGAAGGAGGAGCCCACTGAGGTGGAGGAGGACAGTCGGCCAGTATCCCTCCTGGCCGGTGTCACACACAGCTTGCCATTGCCAAGCGACGAGCGCGACCTGGAGGAGGATCTCCCCACCGAGGAGCTGGAGTAGGACCGATCCAAGATGGACCAGAGGGACGCGACATAGCGAGATCAGTCCCTGAGCCCTCTCGTCAGCGTGAAGAGGAAAAGATCGCTACAGTACACTTAAAAGAAAAGAGAGAAAAAAGAGAATGTTTTTTTTTGTTTTGTTTTTAAGAAAATGCAAGCAACCAAGGACGACATTGAGAAACTCCAAACAGGGTTAGATGACCTCCGTTACTTTCAGACGCAAAAACAAGACTGTGGAGCACTGCTTTACCTCCATGTGTTTCTTTTCCAACACATGGCTCAGAGGTGTAACACCACTCAACACATACACACTCACACACACACACACACACACACACACACACACACACACACACACACACACAAACACACAAACACACACACTTATTCACAGAAAACCATGTTTCATCCTCCTACCTGGTCAAACCAGCCTCAGTGTAGAGACCCTTAGAGGTTTGGACACACACTCTCCTCCTCGCCTCGCCACTCTGCATACACCCTCCTCACTGTTGTCTCGGGCTGCCTGGCTAGCCGTTTTTATCTCTACGTCAATGGAGAAGACACACAGGTGTGTGTCAGAAAGAGAAAGACACACACAGGATCATGTGTATATAGATTTGGGGCAGTCACCAGGGGCTGTGCAGTATACCTCTCCTTCTTCCTCCTCTTTGAGTCGATCACTTGCTTTTTCATTTTCTTTGATTTGATTGAAATGAAACTGTTTGGCTTTAAGATGGGAAGGAAGGAAAGATTCAAAGATTACCTCCAACAGTGCTCCAACACCTCTGCAGAGAAGTGAGCCCACGGCGAGGCTGACCTGACAGAGGTGGCCCTGGTCCCTGTCCAAACTTCTTCCCCCCAGCAAGACACTTAGTGACAGACATGTTTTAAACTCTTTGCTTCTAAGTGAGAAAAAAAAGAAGAAATTTTCCTACACCCACCTCTATCCTTTCCCATCCTCCCCATCCCAAAAGACTGCAGGAATAGGACCATTTGGTGCTGTCCTTCTCCTCTCCTCCGTACATGGATGGATGGAGGGAGCTTGGAACACTTTGAGAACGAGAAGAAAAGAGGGGAAGCAGAGAGAAATGAGGGAGGAAGCGTCTACAGAAATATTGTGACTAAAAAAGAAAACTGTTGATGATTATGGAATATAACAAGAAAAAAATGTGTGGTAGCTTTTGTCATTTCCTTTTTTATTTGATGTTATTATCATTGTTTATTTTTGAGGATCAATATTTCCACGGTGGCGTTCTGTTTCGACGTACCTTTTCTAAGGATGCTGTTTTTGTTTTTGTATTGTAATTTGTTTGATTTACTCTGGCTGTTCACACCATTCCAAATGAGTATTGGCAAAAGAAAAAAAAAAGAAAGCGCAGTATTGTCCCAACTTGTGATACCCGAACCCCACTCCTGTCCCTTTCCCTTTCTGCCCCAAGTGTAGCAGGCAAGAAATTTGGAAATAGCACTTAAAGTTGCCATTATCCAGACTGATTATTTAACAGCTGAACCTTGTTTTGTCTTTTTATTCTCTCTCATTCACTTGTTTTCGGTTGTGTATTTAGTTGAGAAATATCAGTAATGCTTTAAAAATATATATATTATTACTGCAGTCAGAGAATACCTCATCCCACAAAGGTTCTACCTGGAACTGTGTCCAAATTGATAAACAAATAAGGGGGAATTCTTTCTGTGGGACACCAAATGTGGCAACTCTGCTCAGCTTCGATTCAAAGCTCTATGGTTGTAATAGTTACTGTGTAGAAGCTATCTGCAATTCACTGTGTGAGTTTGTGTTAAAGAAATAGCATGTGAGATTTATTTTTTTGTTTGTTTTCCGTGAGCATAAAAGCATTACTTTTCTCTACGGTGCCATACCAAATTTAACATTTATTTTAATCTATTATCTGCTTATTCCCAACTTATTTTTGTTACAGGTAACCAAAGAAATATGTAGAAAACCAAAAACCCTGTAGTTTATTTTGCCCTTTTTGAGTTTCTTTTTCTTCTTCTTAGAGAATTGGCCAAAAGACAACAAACCAGGAGTTAGAATTTTTGTTATTGTATTCATATAACTATTGTGTTGAAATTATACATGATTTACAGTGCTGACCATTCCAAAAACCAAAGTGTTTAAAGCAAACCAGAATTTGAAGACATCACAGCTTTTACATGAGAAGCGGTTACAAATGATTCACATTAGGTATGAGGCCAAAAACTAGTATTAACAAACCTCGCACAGTTCCTCTGAAAAACAAAAAAAAGACAAAAGCACTTATAGGTGAAACCCGGTCTCTGCCACGCTCAGGCTGAACTGTGTTCCAAACACAATCCTAGGACTGGCCCCACTACCGTATGAGCAGGCCCGAAAAATTAGGCACTCGTGAGACATTTGAACACAACATATATTTCAATTTACAACCGGAGATTCCAACAAAAATAAAGGTCAAATTCAGAATTAAAATATTTGGTTCCGTCAAATCAACTTGGCTTTATATGATACTTTTCCTGGTGCTGTGGAAATTAAAAATGTTCAATCTAGGAAACAAATATACCCTCTTGGTCTGTATCTAGTATTTGCAGGAAGAGGAAGTGTACTGTAATGTGGTAACAAAACTCACATCTTTGGACAGGGAGGAGTTATTCCAAAAACATATATATTACAATAAAGAGGGAACAACTAAACATAATAAGAATATATCAATGTAAGAGGAAAACAACCAAGGGACATCATGTAATTAAAAGTTGGGTTCATATTTTCATACTTTTTCTCAAACTATCTCTTGCACTTCAGACAATTTTTCTTATTTAATGAAAGAACCTTTCTGATGACTTTGTGTTCAAACAGGACTGTTTCCTGTCACATTAGAGACTGATTTCTAACAAAGTACAAAGTGGCAGACAGGCATCTTGAAACAAGATAAAAACCAAAAATAACACTACCTCCTTTTCAAAATAGTTCAACACATATAGCCAATGGGAGACTAAACTCTCTTAAATATTTTTTTTCCTCCATTCTTCCTGGATGATAATAATGAATGCCAAAATTGTTATTACACTTACTGTATAACTGACAAAAAAAATTTAAAAAAGAAGCTATTTGGCGATCCTTACTCCCTGACACATCTGCTTGACCCCAAAACCAGAGAGACGTTTCACTTTCCATGGAATTAAAAATGACTACCTCTCCTTAAACTACATCTAAAGCACTCTCTACGTCTCAAAGTGTGTTATGAAGTGCTAACTATATATCAGAGGTTTTCTATCAGCTGTGTTAAACTGACCATATTCCTGCACCTGGTTAGCACTGAGCTATGTGAACAGCCTCACAACTGTGTGCTTTGACTGTATGTGTGCATATTCATGATATCAGTCAAAAACTGGTCTTTAATGGCTATGTGGTGTTGCAGGGAGCTGGTTGTCAGGGGTAATGATGAGCAGATTATATCAGTGCCGCACACACACACACGCACACACACACACACACACACACACACACACACACACACAGTTGTATAACAGAAGCATAGAAGCAGGGCTATGGGTTAGTGCATTGGAGGCTCTGACCATCCAGATATCCAAAGACCCACAATACAGCGGCAGCCGCTTCACCAAAACACTTGCAGAGACGCTGAGAGGACTAACACTTAAAGAAACTCATCACTACTACTAGTAATATCCAAACCAAGAGGAACTGCTGCATACAGTACATAGATGATCTCTGACTTGTGCTTTAAGGTACACCTGTAAACAAAGCTGTTTTATAAAGATGTAGATTGTTCACAGGTCGCCATGTAACACTTCTGTTCTTTCTCCAGCTTGGCATAACATGATGTATTCTTGTATATTAATGCTTGACTTATCTCTCCAGGGCATTCTTTCTCATTTTGTTCTTTGATTTTCTCTTCCCTTTTTTTTCTGCACCTGTTTAGCTATTGTAAAGCTTTCAGCTCTGATTCCTATACTGTACTGCTAATGCTGAAGTATATGTATTTATCATATTAAGTGCTGCAGGTATCTTGGTTTATTAGTTTTGTTTTTGTTTTGTTTGTTTCCACTTTTTCAGTTCTTCATAAAACGTCTGGGACGCTGATTTTTTAAGTGTATTATCTCTAAAAAAAATTAAAAGAATAAAAGGTAGATCAGTGGTTTAGGTAACACCTGTTTGTATATTTATCTTAGCTAGGTCTATTTTGATACTTTTTTGTCTCTGTACTGCATTTATGCATTTTTAAGGAAAGAAAAAACAAATGGAAAACAAACTAAAAAGTTTCTTCATTATGTATTGATACCTCAGAAGGACTTTTTCTCAAAGACAGGACCAAAACCTCTGAAAAGAAAAAGAGAAAGAGGAAAAAGTGTAAGAATATGTAGCCCCTCTCTTGCTTTAAAAAAATGCGGAGCTCTAGAAAGATATTGCTGTTGGTCCTCTCAGGTGCCAATATGTGTCCCAGCTCCCTGTGACCCCTCCCTCTGACCCCTGACCCCTGTCATTCCTGTGCCGAACTCCGACCCGCAGAGCTGTCAATCATCTGCAGGCGCCATGGGGGTGTCACTGAGCCACACACCTGGCTGGTGGTGACCAGTAACAAACCTCATCTCCCAGTCCCACAGAGGCAGATCAAAGACAGACACTGTTGCATTTTTGATACTCCTCCTCTTGCGTAGTCTCAATACCAAAATGTGGAATGGCGCTCAGAGATGCAGCCAATCCTCTGACTACCAAAGGCATAACAAGCAACCATTTGCTTAGTCCAAACTCCTGAACTGTAACCAAACTGTAACCAAACCAATGCCACAACCTTAACCAAACAAAAACCAAGCTACTTCCAAAACTCTCCATCGACTTCACTGATCACCTTTACTGATAGCTGATATCTCTCGTGCATCCACGTAATGGTGTTATAGGACCAGCCTGCATCTTATTGGCTGGTGAGTGACTGACACAGGGAGCCCAAATCCTGATGTGAGATTGGACAGTTCTGAGGTGTCATGTGAGGGGGAAGGGACTCTCAAAGTGGAGCTTTGCCTGACGGTATTATCAAGTAGACAGCCAGAATCCAATGGAACTACCACTTCAGTTCTCCTTTGGTTAAACCTTAGGAATGTGTGTACATTTTCAGCAGTGACTCTCTGAATTGTTTCTTAGTTTCAGTTTACCTGTTTACCTCTCTTTATCCTTTGTTTTTTTTTCTGTTTCTTGTTATTTGAAAGTGTGACCCGAGGAAGAGGCGGGGACAGGGACTGGGTGGTGGCTTTAGACAGACAGTGGAGCCCAGCCCTCTGACCCTCCACCCCGGGTAGCCATGTAATGCCAGTCACTGCCCTTTCCTTCATGCTGTATAAAAACACACACATATATCTGTGTATTTGTAACCTGAATCTTCTTGTGTCTGTCCATGCAGACAATAAAAAAACTGTACAGTAGGTCTAGTTGCATGTAATCTGTACTAATTATTGACAATGGCATTATAAAATGCAATAAAATACTTATTACACTGTCCTATGTTGCATCCTTTTTGTTTCTTCTACATATGTCTATAGCAGTGGTTACCAACTTGTGGGACCATCAAAGGGGGCTCAAGATAAATCCCTGGGGCCTCAAGATGTTTAACAGAATAGGAAGGTAGAACAAATATATTTCTCCAACGCATATTTAAGCCACACATATTTTCTGACTTCATTCTAATCTTTGCTTTTCTGTTGTGGATTACTGTTTAATTTTACCTCCTTAGACCGCATACAGATATTGAAATATATCAGTCTGCAAAGGAAAAATTACCCACAACTGCTACACATAATACAACCCATAACGAGGGGCTGCCAGCAGACGTTGTATGTTTTAAATGGTAAAAAGCCTAAAAGGTTTGGAGCCACTTTTGGAAGGACGCTCTTAAAAGAAGTTACTACAGATGAATACTTTCTTTTATGTTATGGTGCCTAAGAAAGAATTAGCCTGCCCTTCTATAATTATCTTGAAATATTATGGTTAACTATATCCAAATCTGTAAGTAAAGCTAGTTGCAAAATATGTACATAGACTGGAACATAAAGACACCTGCAGAGCATAATGTAATTCAGTTCAGGAGCCCTGCAACAACTAACAATTTTGCTGAGACGGTGTTAAAGGTGTTGATTCTACTCTGCTGTCATTTTTGAGCTTGTGTTTTACTTTTCGATGCCCACCCTGCACCCTAACGAGATGAGATTACATATCACACACAAACACAAACTGAAAAGGCAGTGCTATACTTGTAGAAAATATACGGTATCACATCTAGCTACTATAATTTTCACAGTGACCTCTGCCAGACTATTTTTCATATAAGTGCTCCATTCAGTCTACAGTCTCCAACTGCTATAATTAAGGAAAAAATAATTAAGGCAACTACTGTTACTGTTCCCTCTTACCATCTTGTTAAATCATTACTGCTGCTGCACAATATGTACCTAATAAAATCATGTTAACCTGAAACACACTAACCTAGCATCTAACCGTTACATTTCAAATAATAACATGTGTATGTGTATAATGCTATGTCTTGTATGATCTTGTAAGAATGCTGTATGAGTTTCATGTCTGTGTGTTAAAAAATAGTTGTTCATAGTCTTCATGTAAAAAAACATGTCACATAGCCTTTAAATAATGCATCAAATCATTCCTATGGTGCCTTCATAGTGTAGTAATTAGTCAAGCCTACTTGTGAACCTCATTAGATGACAAACTGCTGCCCAAACAGTAACTGTTCCTTGAGTTACAAGTTCAGCCTATGCCAGTCCTGCAGGCCTTCAGAGAGGTCAGCATGTGTTGTGATACAGAGTGTGGCCACCAGGAGGAGTAAACAAACCGGACAACACAAGCAGCATCTCATAAACACAAACCCAGCAACAAACATCACTGTGCTCCACTGACATAGTCTGACCAACAGGGTGGGCCAGAGAGTACAGAACATACAAAAGCACTGAGTGGACTACCTGTAGTGTTTGTGATGGAGTGAATACAATGAATGCAGGTGGCTGCAGTCTTATGATATTAATTATTATTTAGATGCTGTGTATGGTAGAAACACATTTTTGTGACCTATCTATACCTTTTTATTCACCCACCTTCTCCGGTTTTCCTTCTCCTTCTTTACCTGTGTCTCCTCGCAGGTTTGGCGCATGCCCTACAGCTTATCTTTAAACTTCTGCGCTGCATCGTGGATGTGTTGCCACAGGGAGGAAAAATGGAAACTGGCTGGATGTTTTTTGGAAAGTTGAAACTTTGTTTAATCTTGTGCTTTTAGTGAACTTCTCCGTTAGTCAGCTGGGAGGAAACTCACTCTTGACGCTTAAATCCCTGTGACATTTGGTTTTGGGAGAGACCCCATACTAAGCCTATTACACACACATGCACACACATACACATACACATACATACAGAAACACACTCACTGGCATACACACATCATGAATACTAAGCAGAAACTTAGTACTATATACTTGTACAAGGTGAGCCAAGGTGCAGAGCAACACACAAAGAGGTTATTCTTGGCGTGGCACAGTAGTGTTTGGCATAAACCTGAGTCTGAAGCTCTGAATGTATTTCTTAACGCTCATCTGGACAGACTAAGCAGTAGGTGTGTGCACATGAGTGTGTATATTTGCAAACCTGTGTTTTTGTGTCTGATGAAGGATTTGTACACATGTTTATACATCTGCTTGCCTGTGCATGTGCATGGATTTGCAATGCTAAATCAATTTGCATTGGGTGGGTGTAGAGGGTCTGCTAGTCCCAGCAGCATGGAGAGCACTGAGGTCCAGGCAGACCCTATGAGTCACAAAATAAATTTACTGAAAACCATGCTAACATCTCTCTCTGTCTCTCCCCAGTTCACTCTCTCTGTCATCCTCCTCCTCGCCCTTCTTCCTCTCCGTATCTGTGGCTGAAGGAGTGGGCTGTCCTCCAAACAGCATATTGACTCACTCAACACTACACAACATACTGTGTATCTCCTGCTGCATGTGTCCACATGGATCTGCTTATTGAGGCTAATGAGCTGAGGCTCTCTCTCTTTCTCTTGTGTCACATTCATGGACTGATGACATTCAAAACAACTTTAGATTAAATGATAAAACCTTGTGTTTGGTTGTGATTGGCTTTACTTCCTCAGTGCTTGTGGTCCCAAGGATCCAACTGCTGTTTTTTTTTTTTTTTTGCCGTAAACACTTTTTTTTTGCTTTTCTTCTGACCTTGTTAATAATAAATCTGTAGAAACATATTCAAATAGTGACCATTCTCTTTGGCACAACTGTATTGTTGATAAAGGTGACAAAATATGGTATGTGCTATGAATGAACAATATATTATTTTTCTTTGACAATAGGACCAGACAAAGGAATGATACACTATGATATCTTTTATAGTGATGTTACAGATGTTTTGGGGCAATTAGACCCCTGTTAGACCTCTCTAACAGTGGACTTCTGAAACATGGCATCAATTAAAAAACACAGTTCTAGCAAATTCAATGTTGAATTCATATAAAAATAGGGAAAGTTATAAAATACCACAATGATAAAACAATGGTAGGCCTACAAATGTTTATTAATTTTTTAAAGGAGTGCCTGGACCCCAAACAGAACATTTGTATAACATTTGGTCGAATGTTTTGCCTAAAAAATGTCCATCACATGGTGTTTTAATCTGTTTGTCCAACAAAAGTTCAGTATTCAAACATATTCAAATTGAAGTGTTTTGACACTAATTGCGTAAATGCACGGTGTATAAACAGCGCCAATCCATCAGCTTTGGTCTGAGAAAACAAATAACTGGACTGAATCACTCTTGAGCAAAACTCAAGATGATGTGCTTTGAAGTAACTTCAAAAATATCTTTTAAAAAAGACTTTATAAGTAGTCATCGGCTCTGTCGTTTCATACATGATTTAACAAACAAATACAGCAGACAAAGAGAGCAAGGGAGCTTTACAATACTTTCCCAGACCTAAAAGGTACACGAAATTACACTGAGTAGATTGTAACCAACATAAAAAAATCCTCAACTACAAAGGCTGGGTCATTGTCCTGGTTTTTAAATAACTAGCCTCCAATTGTTTCAGTCTCACAGGTATGATTTATCCTCCCAAGAGAAGTCATGAGTCTGATGAGAAAGTGGATGGAACTGCACGACTCCATGTGTGGCAGAGAGAGAGAGAGAGAGAGAGAGAGAGAGAGAGAGAGAGAGAGAGAGAGAGAGAGACAGAGAGGGCCCCAGATACAGAACAAAAGCATCTTTGTGAGTGATTGGAACCACATTTTCACCCTCCTCTCTCTCTCTCTCTCTCTCTCTCTCTCTCTCTCTCTCTCTCTCTCTCTCTCTAAATCTGTCTCTCTCCTCTCTCTCTCTCTCTCTCTCTCGCTCAATATCCCAGTCACACCAGACCGTTCAAAACCACTGTAACGATCAACGTCAAAAGTTTAGAATAATAGTCAGAGAAGGTCTCAGCAGATACTCTTTGTGTGTGTGTGTGGCTCCAATTTCACTTCTCTGTCAACACACACCTACACACACACACACACACACACACACACGCACACACGCACACATGCACACACACACACACACACACACACACACACTCACACTCACACTGTACTCACATACTCTCTCTCTCTCTCTCTCTCTCTCTCTCTCTCTCTCTCTCTCTCTCTCTCTCTCTGGACTCTCTCCCTCTCTCTCAATCTCTAAATTTCTTCTTCGTGCCCCTCCCACCATGCCTGTCTGCTGCCTCTCATGCAGTCTGGTCAGAAGTCCTAGAGCAGTGGAGCATCTCTCAGCTGAGTCCTCCAGCGCTGGCGAGCTAGACCAGGCAACCTGCTCTTTCTCTGCTGGATCTCAGTGGACTGGAAAGCCTCTAAAGCCTTAGAGGCCTAAGCCAAACACAGAACAGGTCTACGTGCTGTGAGAAAGGTAGAATTGCTTTCAGCATAGCGAAGCATGGCATGATTGCCTTTGTGAGGACAACTTGCCCTTGGTACAGTATGTAGCAGAACTTATAACTTCCCTTTATGCATTTTATGCGGAGGTACTTCAATTGGACCTGTCAGCTATAGAGTTGTGACTCATTTTCTGTAAAACACTCATCTATAGTAAGATAAATGTTAGTCCTATATTGTGATACAGGATGCCATTTGTATGATATTTGCAATATATACATATATATATGTTTTCTTATATAATGTTGGTCCTCTTTTCCTAACACAGTTTACAATCATTGTTTCATTACTCCATTCCATTTTATGAAAAGAGTGATATTGATTTTAAGTGTACAAGGTAAAATATTGTAGCAAGAACTCATGGTCATAATGCATGTTAAAAGACATAATCTTTCATATGTACTTAAAGCAATAGTTCAACATTTTGGGAAATATGCTTTTTAGCTTTCTTGCTGAGAGTTAGATGAGCAGATAAATACCACTGTCTCGCAATTACATAGCTCTGGCACCAGTTAGCTTAGTTTA